CTTTTTCAGTTGACCCCAGAACTAGCTGCCTGGGCCCCAGTGCTGGGGACAAAGGAGGTACCAAGAAGCCAGCGACAACCGGGGCCTAGCACGTCCCTCTGGGGTTTTTAGGAGGCAGAGACAGGGCCCTGTGGTATACACACTGTCCCCACTCCCCACCTCTCTGAGCAGAGGGGACACACTGGCCGAGTGGGCACAGAGAGCTGGAGACTATCCCTGCCCATCCACTCAAAAGCCGAGAGAGATGGCTACCAGAGTCACTCACAAAGATCAGACGCCGCTACAGGGAGGGGAGACTGGTGCCTTTTTCTCTCGGGGCATCTGCTTAGCCAGGGGACTTGCTCATCTGCTTTGCACTTTCCTGACCAGAGGAGAAGGCAATGGACAGAGGTGGCCAGCAGAGAGAAGGGGGGAAACGGAAGACACTGCCCTCGGAGCCCTCGAGGCGGCAAGACTAGGTGTGGCAATGCTGCAGGAGCCTCCCCAGCCCCAGCCCTGACCACGTGGTGGCCGGAGTCGCTGAGCTCCCTGTTGCCAGCCCGCCAGCCCTCGTCCTGAGGCGTCTCGCTGGCCACCGGAGTCCTCGCTCCTCGTGTCCATGAGGCCGGCTGGAGGAGCCCGGGGGACTCAAGGCTCCTGGGAGCATCCTTCAACCTGTGCCTGCTGGGAGCTGGTGAGTCAACACCCCAGCACCCTCAGCCCTCGGGCAGGCTACAGCGAGTGCCCGGGAGGATCACCGCCCAGCTGCCCACAGTGGTAACTGGCCCAACAACATGCCCTTTGTTATTTGTAGGTCTCATCTCCCCCTTCCCTCTGGTTTTTCTTGGCATCACCCCCCCCCCAAATAAAATACTTGCACTCAAATCTTGGTCTCAGGGTCTATTTCTAGGGAAGCCCACCCGAGGATGATAGATGACTTTCCCATGGGTCAGAGGGCCCCAGAGGAGGTAGCTGGGTTTGGGCCACCTAACCAGGGCCCATCCTCGACGGCTGCTCCCCTGGTGAAGGGATCCCAACAGTAAGAGGCCATGGGACACGCTCCCGAGGGCCAGGGCAGCCCCCACCCACTGCCAGGACCTTCCAAATCGTGGACATGTGTCTGCCACTAGGGCCAGCATGAACCATGCCTGCCAAGGTCCTTCAGTGGGGATGCCAGCCAGAGAAGTGGCAACAAGAACAAAGAGAACCGTAGCTGCGGCAGCTAAACAAGGAGACATTCACCTTTCCTGCTCCTAAACCTCCTGACGGACACTCCCACCCACTTCCGGACCCGCAGTGGTGATGGACAGGGCTGTGAGGAGAGCAGGACTCATGGGAGGACAGGCCCATGAGCGTCCTCCCTGGGACTTTTGGGACTTTTGGGAGAGGCTCTCTCTCCACTTGTGTGGCCCGGCGGGTAGGACCTTCCTGAGAAGAACGGTGACAGAGGAAGGCGGAGCTGAGGAACATTCCAACTGAGAAGGATTCCCAAGGCACAACCGAAGCCCCAGACCCCGTGGTGCAAGGAGTCCACATGACCACAGACCTTCCGCTCTGGCCAAAGCGAGTTTGAGATGGGTTCTGCTAGTTTTAACCAAGATTCCTGATTTAGACATTTTGGAGGCCACCCAAGAAAGTCAATCTCTTTACCTCAGCGTCGCGCAACTCTTGTGTCTACTCCTTAATGAAAACAGCAGTTCCCACACAGACACCTGTCTTGGTGACCAAATCGGACTGGCCTTTGGCCATTTCCGAACGTCCAACCCATTTGGCGCTCCTGAGGAAAGCCGCCAGTACAGCTCTTCAGGTTCTGACGGCTTTCACAGAAGACAGGCTCCGAGCAAACGCAGAACCCTTCTAGGGGCGTGGCTCCAAAGGCGGAAGGAAGCAAGATCCGTATTTATATAAAACTGTGGACATGCTGATGAAAAATACAGTCTTCTCACACTCAAGTCACATGGGGTAGAGCCTCGGGCAGGACTGTCTCCTGAAGAGATCATTTCACAGCAGTTATGGGTGCGGGTTGGGAGTCAGTCTCAGGTTCCAGTCCCCATTCCAGCTGTGCATCGCAGGGTAAGTTCCTTAACCTCTCTGAGCCCTGGGGTCCCCATTCATAGGGTGCAGGTGCCATGACTATCCATCTGGTAGGGTAACGTAAGCACTGTACGCAGCCCAGGGTCTGGTACGTGGCGAGTACCAGAAAGCCTTTACTGTCACCATCTCTGAATCTCACCTGGCAAAGGTGGCACACACAGCCCTCCCCTCCCAAGCCATGCGACCCTGAATTCCAGACATCCAGGGTCTAAAGGGTGTTCCTCTGGACTGAGCAAATCTCAAGTTAAAGCAGTTTTCCGAAACATAAATATTCAGCACTCCGGTGTGCAAATATCACTTTTGACTAAACACATTTTCTTCTTCTGGGCTCAAATCAAACATTTCTTTTCAGTGGGGAATCTGGCTTGGTAATAAAAGAGACGACACCCCATGTGATGCAGAATTATCCCCCAAGGACTTCTAAGAGCATGTACCCCGAGTCTGCTTGGCCCCCAAAGGCTCCATCACACCTAATGCTAATGGCAGCCTATACTGGGTACGCGGGCAGCCACGCCAACTCCTTTGACCATCACAACCCCCACCAGTGAGTGGCAGGGTCACGGTTCACCCATCTGTCCGGCTCCAACAGCCAAACCCTTTCTGCCTTCCACCGGCCACCTGGTGTTTCTCGGAATGATGTCCAGAGCCCACCTGCATTAGAATGGAATAACCCAGCACACTCACTAACATGCATGCTCACCCCAGACTTACGACATTGAGGCTGCGGTCGGGGAACCCCAAGGTCCCAGGAACAGCAGCATGACAGTGGAAGTCCCCACTCTGTCTGATGGCCCTTGTTAACAAAAGGGCTGGTCCTGGTCTTAAAACCAGCCACCTATGTCCGCCCGCACCTGACGCCTGGGTCCAGGCCATCAGCGCCCGCCTAGATGACCGCAGCAAATGACCCCTGACTGGTGCCTCTGCTTCCTTCTCTCTTTTCCTCCCAACATTTTAACGGTGAACATTGTCAAACGCAGAGAAGCTGAAAAGAACTGTGCAGTGAACCACTCTGCATACATCACCTCAATTCTACAACGAGCAGTTAATATCAGTAATTCTGAAATTAGTAGTTTTGAAATATGCTGTACCTGCTTTCTCACATACCCATCGATCTTTTTTGAATACATTTTAGAGTGACTTGCAGACATAACACACTTCCCCTAAACACGGCAGCAGGCAAGTCATGAAGCGGCCTTTAGTATTTGTTTATGGCTCTTTTTTCCAGATAAAATTTATATTCAATGAAATGCACAAACCTTACACGTAGCAGAGGAGTTTGACAAAGGCATATACCGTGTCTCCCAAAGCCCTATCAAGATGTACAACAGCACTGTTAGTCCAGACGTTTCCACCAAGAGCTAAGGAAAACATGGTATAGGGGTGTCCAGATTCTCTGTGTTTCCAGGACCTTCCACTGACGGGAAGACTGGAGCTTGGCCGTACAGAATTTATTTTGTCGGGTGGGTCTTGCTCTTTCAACTCTAAGTTTCTTGACAGCTGAAAACCCAGTGACATCAAATATTAAGGAGGAGACGTGGAAAGCACCCTTATATCCTGCTCATGAGATGGGAGGGAAGCTTTGGGGTCACAGCAGACACTGCCAACACCTTGCCCGCCACCTCCGGGCCCCGACCACTTTGGCACACATGGGCCCATGTCCAGCTGCCAGCAAATGCATGTTTTTGCATCTGTGGATATCAAAGGTCTCTTCATCGGCCAGTGCAACAGGCCAGAAATGCCAGCGTGACCCTGCCCGTCCCCCCAGCAGCCCTCATCTCATGGTGACAGGAATTAGTGTATAACAGCCGAGCCCCCCGCCCCTCAGGTGGAAAGACTCTTGGGCGTGTGTCTGACGTTGGCTCCCAGTTTCCTCAGCAGGTTTCGGCTTGGCACCGGCAGTGGTACCAGCCCAATAATGCGTCCCTTATGTGACTTTCCCACTTCCTCCTGATGTTTCCTCCGGTGTCACCTCCCTAATAAATGACTTCCCTGGCCTCAGGGTCTCCTTCCCAGGGAATCCAAACAAAGAGACAGATAAATCTATCTTCCTATCTTTGAGGTCTCTCTCTCTCTCTCTCTGACAGTGGGGCAGCCCCTCCAGTCCTCATGTATGAAACCCATACCCCAAATGTGACACTGGGTCACCACATCCCTAGCCACATCCCCATCTCAGAGCTCAGCTTTGAGAAGCGCCTTGGTGTGTTAGACGCACAGTAACCCCACCTACATCACACAGGACTGCTGTCCCCAGCGGGGATGGGCCCGCAGAATGCCCAAGGGAGGGGCTCTCACAGCCCACTGGAGAGAAAGCCTGGTCCGTGGGTGGCTCCCCAAGCAGCCAATGGCATGTCCCTGGGCTGGAAGGGGGAAAGAAACCAATCTTACAATTTGCCTGAAGAACATCCACCTATCAGCCTGTTCTTCAGCCCTCATTTTATTCTTCCCATAGCAATTTCTGAGAGTCAAGATGACGGATAGCTTCATACCCCGGACAATCATTCTCCTTATTAAATAACCCAGAATCAATGGCCAAAAAGCTCCCAGGATGGTGGTAGTTACATGAATCTATGTATGTGATACAATTTCAGAAACACACACGTGGGCATGCTCACGTGCATACACACACACACACACACACAGAGGTGCACGTGAAAACTGAATAAGGTCTGTAGTTCAGCTGCCAACGTCACTGTCCCAGTGTCGCTCACATACTCTGGTTGTGTAAGATTTATCACGGGGTTGCTAGGTGAACCAACAGTACCCAGGAAGTCTCCGTATTGTGTCTGCAAACTTCTTGTAAGTCGAAAATTATTTCAAAATAAAAAGTCTTAAAAATACAACAACAACAAATTAAACAGTAAAACAAAAGCCCCCGTTTCTTTTTTTCACAAAAGCTCCGGAGAAGACCGCGCAAGCCCACCCCTTACCTGAGAGCTGGGGATCAGCGCCTTCCACCAGTGCCCGCCTTTCACCAGGTCCACGTCGCACAGCGGCACCGACACCTTCCCGATGACGCAGTGGCGTGAGAACTTATCGAAATCCAGCACGGTGAGCAGCAGGGTCCGCCGCTGCGCTTCTGGGAAGGGGATGTCGAAGGTGTAGCGCTCCTCGAACACCGGCTTCTGCGTCTTGCGTTTCACCCCCGTCTGCTTCGAGTTCTTCTGGTCGGGCAGGAGGCAGATTTTGACGTAGGGGTTGGAGTGCGCCATGTCCTGGCGCGCGCCGTCGTGGGAGATCGGGGGTGGCAGGTCCCGGGCCTCGATCACGCGCACGGTCAGGTGGTTGTGCAGCAGGTCGTACTGGGTGCTGAAGTGCAGCATGCCCAGCTGGTACTTGGACAGGATCTCCTCGTCCGTCAGAAAGTCCACATCGTCGCCGCTGGAGTCGAGGCAGTAGAGCCGGGGCTCGAACTTGCGGAAATAGTCGTCGGGGGTATAGGTCCGTCTGAGCACCGACGGCTGGATGGGCTCCTTCTTGGCGCCGAGGATGCCAAACTCGATGGGTTTAATATCGACGAGCGGGGAGCTGGGTCGTCTGGACTCGAGACCTAAACAGCCGCCAGAAATCACAGTGAACGCAGGGGACCGGACCTGGGCCCCTGCGGGAGGTGGCAGCGTTTCCCAGATTCTCACACCGGCCGCCCTGCTTCCCACCGCTCTGCGCCATCTGCTCTCCACACCTTGAAATCCTCTGATTTATTCTCTGAGCGGCAGCGTGACGGCACCATCGGCTCCGCCACCATCACCAGCGCAGCTAAGCGCCAGGCACTGTTCCAAATGCATTGCACGTATCAAGTCACCTCATCTTCACAGGTATTAGCTGATGATAACCCCCCGGCCCCCCTCCCCCAATTTACAGATGAGGAAACAGAAACTGAGGTACCTCGCCAAAGGTCACACAACCAGTAAGAGGAGCCAGGAGTCAAGCCCACCCTGTGTGGCCCCATTGTTGGCCCTAGCCATTACCCGATACTCTACTTTCAGAGTGCACTCGGGCCAGAGTGCCTGGGGCAAATTCCAACTCAGCTACTTGCTCGGGAGCCAGTGACTCACCAGTAAGGAGCCATGTGACTCGGGGCACATTCTTTCGACTCTCTGGGTCTCAGCCTCCCCATCTGTGAAATGGAGCCAATAACGGCCCTTACCTCAAAGTACCAATCACCATACTTCTTCAAGGACCCTATTTAGGGAGTCCTTGGGCTTTAGCCTCCTCCTCCTCAAACACATATGCTACACATCAGAGGGGACAAACTGGGCATCCTGTGGGCCAAATTCGACCACAGATACATTCTGCTTGGGTTTAAAAGTCAGGAAGCTGCACATAAAAAACCCAGATTGCCAGTTTCGCTTTAGAAAGATCAGGCAGTACTGAGCCCACAATCCCACATGGCTATAGCTGAGCGGCAGCTGCCCCTTCAATGGGGCGCCGACTTCCCTGCTGGCCTCAGTCCCCACCCCTAGTGACTCTCCAGGTTGAGAGTCAGCTGCCATTAGGGTGATGTTTGTCCCTATCCAACCCTGTTCACTCAGCCACAGACACAACCTGTCCGGCCCCTGGAGCCACTTGGATTTGCAAGCCCTGCTGTAAACACGGTAACACTCGCCTTTCGGGCTCTGAAATGATATGTGCTGGCAACGTCAACCAATGGAGCCAGTTCAATGAAACGTGATCAGTAAATACAAAAAGCAGTCAAAACGATCGCTTCTGATTGAACTCGGCAGAAATCAGGCGCGACGTCCTCTTGTCACACTGTCAATCTCTCTGTTCTCCCACTCGGCCCCCTCCCCAGGGACCACCCCGTCCTTCACATCTTCCTTTGGGGGTGCTGCCAAGTGTCTGGGGAAGCCGGCCCTCCTCTGTCCTGGACTTTGAAGGGAGGCTGGCTGAGCAGCAGAGCACTGCTGGAGCCAGGACCCCCGGGTAATCGCAGCAGAGGCACTTACTTGAAATCCTCCGGGTCAGGCTGTGCGTGGACTTAGATGTGTCTGAGGACGAGCATCTCCCGTCTGGAGAGTTGGTGCGTGGGGTCAGCGGGACGTCGCTGACTGTGTGGACAGAGTCCCCGTCCTTGTCACTGCTCCGGCTGGCCATCCTATGGGAGGGGAAGGTCTCAATGGTTGGCAAAGAACCCCCAGGGGCTGGCATCTCTGTCCCTTGGAGGACAGACCTGTGACGAAAGAGCTCTCCCACCCAGCGGTAGCCCTAAACTCTCAATAATGTTTTGATTTTTGCACAAAATGTGAAATGATATGAATGACTATTTCCTAACTTAGAACAAATCTGTCAAAAATTTGCAGAATTTCAAAGCTGGGGCTGGCGGGGGAAGGGTATTGAAACTTATTCAGGATACTGCCACATGGGGGCGCCACTTCAGCTAAGTCAAGAGAAGACCTGTCAATCTTCAGTCTGGAAGGAACCATGTGGCTGTTTAAATGCATCCCAACTTTTGCGAGTGGCTTTTGGTGAGAAACGCCCTGCTATTTCAACAGTCACTGTGTCTACAATTTAACATCTTTCAAAAATATCCCATGACAATGTCGCACAAGGGTTCTTTGAGCGGCAGCACTATAGCTACAAAATGGCCCTAAGAGTCAATGATTTAAGAACAATAGTTCAATGTGAAGAAACAGCTACGAATGAGCAGCAGGCGCCATCCAATGTGCTCCCAACGAGCAGGAGAAATGCTGAAAAAATGAAAAGCACTGGATTATGGGGTGGAGGGATCCAGGGGAGTAATTAAGAGCACAACCTTTGGCTGGAACCCTGGCTGGGTGACCTTGGGCAAGTCCCTTTCTCTCTCTGTGCCTTCCTTTCCCCATCTGTAAAAGGGGAGTCGCAGTACGCAGCTTACCTGGTTGCTGTGAACACTGAATGAGTTCACACACATAATATGCTTAGGACAGCGCTTGGTATGCCGTAGGCAGGTGCTCAATACATCTCAGTTGGTAGTATTATATTACAGCAGAGGGGGCTTTAAGGTTCCCCCAATGCTCGTAAGGCTGGGTTCAGACGCTGGAGGGAGGGGACAAAAGATGGCGAAGTGGCCATGAGATGGATGCTGCTAATAACTTGCCCTGGAGCTATCACAGCGGTAGACTGATGCGATCTGAGGCTGCACCCCCACAACTTGACATGCAAGCCTGCGGGGAAACTAGTCTTGAAAAATCCAAGTTCAAATTCTAGGAGGTCTTTAGATGCATCCTGGTGCACGAAACAAGACGGATCTGATGTTCTTCCAAAGCAGTACAAGGGTCACAGCGAGGACAAGACCCGGCATGTTATAAGGGGGGAACCGCAGTCCTTGCCCACCTCCTACTCCTGGCCTGTAGGTCAGTGTAGCAGGTGAAATGGGGGAGGGAGGGCGGGCAGCAGGTGAGGGCACAGAAACGGGGCCACACTGTACCAATCATTCTTCTCACTCTCCCTTAAATAAAAGCAGCAGCACCTCCCAAGGAAAACAGAACCAAAGCGCTACGGCCACTGGGGCGTCTCCACCTGTGCGGCCTGTTTCCCGGCCATCACACCTCTGCGGCAGTCACCTCCACCTGTGAAGTCCCATGCGGCCTTGAAGGGTCAGCTTAAATGCCACCGCCCTGAAATCCTGGTTGACTCCTCTCAGATAACAACAGTGTATGTCTGAGCCACCCCTGGCTTCTCTGCAAGCGTCTGGCATCCGGACCTTTCCTCCGACACACCGAGCCATGCTGTTCCCTCTGCCTGAACGCCCTTCCAGCCTCGGTGCCTTCTCATTATTCAGGTGTCAGCTTCAACAGCACCTCCTCAGAGAGGCCCCACCCTGTCCCCGTCACCTCCTCTCACCCCCGTCGGCCCCTTCTCCTTGTACCTTCCTTTTTCTCTCACCAACACTGCACACAACTCATCTTTAGTTGGGGCTGGCTTGCCTCTCGTCTGCACCTGAAATCAGTTCAGCGCCATGTGGGGGACAGTGTCTCTTATTCACCACTGCCGACCTTGACCTTGCCCTAGCATCTGGAGCCTGGCACGTCTGGGGTGTTCCCAATTTACCTTCTCAGTGAGTGAGTGAGGGGTACACTTAATGGTGAGATCCATACTTGCTATGACCCAAGGTACCAGGTACCTACCGTTTGTCAGGTACTGTGCTCAATGCTAACTGAGCCATTTCATTTCTCCCTTAGAAAAATCCAGGAGTTAGGTGTTAGTAACAATCCCTGCTCCCCTTTATTGGTGGGGAAACGGATGCCCTGGGTGGGGTGGGGAGAAGGGCAGATAATATATTGGCACCACTTTTAAAGGATAGAACCCCAACAGGGTCGAGCAACACCAGACTCCAGATCACAGCGCCACACTTGTGAGCCGGGCACCCCTGCAAGGCCTATTGAGCTTTGAACACAGTAGGTGCTCAACGCATGTTTATTGGACAAATAACCTGACTTCAATTCACTCTTCAGGGAGGGTCTTGCTAGCATTGCCCCCAAAGGAGCCGTCAGATAGTCCAGTTTTCCTGCCCTCATCAGGCTAGCCCAGAGAAGAAAAGCTGGGAACCCACACGATAGGAGCATATGTGACAATTAACGGTGTCCCCCAAAATCACACACACAAAGGGCCAGCTCATCTGAGAGGCACGTCCTGTGGTTCTTGGCTCAAATGTCACAGTACGTACGAAGGGCACTGCAAAGCCTGTACACTTGACATTTCTACTCCCTGCCTGTTTGATAACATGCAACTGCCTTCTTGGTAAATACATCTGGAGAAAGCACAAGCTGTAAATTTGCTTTCTGAAAGATTTAACCCGCCTCCCCTTTGTAGGTTTCTCTAACATTTTACATTGTGCCGAGTGCCAAAAATGCACTAAGGGCTGCCCAGGATTCAAGGAAGGCCTGTTTCATCCTGGGAAGCATGAAGGTCGTGTACAGTTGTTCAGGCTGCAGACTGCACAACTCTAGGTGGTGTCATTCGTTATAAGCACCTAGTGAATGGCACCTCCTGAAGCTGTGTGGTGTGTGGGCTCTGCTGCGAAGTTTCCAGCCCACTTCCCTGCTTGTGGCAAAGCCAAAGGTGTCTCTCCCCAGAGGGCCCCACCCCTTGCCGCCAGAAAGAGTCCACTGCTTGCACAAAGGGTCCGCAGCCTGGGCAAAGCACAACTGTTGTCCAACTCCATGGCCATACACCTGTACCACTCACCATCACATTCCGGTCTGACTTTCAGCATCCATCGGGGTCTTCACTGCTTCGGAAGAAAATCCGAATTCCTTAACCTGGCATTCAATGCCCTGCATGATCTGAGCTTGCAGGCTCATTGTCTGTGATCCCCCAGCCCTTCCTAGATGTCATGTCCATTTTTCAGGTTTGTCTGCCCTGGACCCAGTTACAGGACCCAAACTGTCCAGGACAAAAGTCAGCAAACGACAGGGCGAGATCCGTGGCCTGATTTTTGTAAGTGAAGTGTTAGGGGAACACAACCAGGCCCATTCACGCATGTATTGTCTATGGCCACTTCCACAATGATAGAAGCAAGTAGTAGCAACAGACACGAAGTCCACGAGGCTGAAATATGTACTATCCGGCCCTTTCCAGGAAAAACGTGCCAACCGCTGTTCTACTCGCCTAGTTCATGCGTTTCAGGTGGGACTGATCCTTTCCCTGGTTCCAGGATGGTCAGGCCACCCAGGCATGACCCTGGCACCATTTCCTCCAAGCAAAAACAACTGGATTGAGTGATTGACACATTTACACCAAGCCGGACAACAAGAGCCTTTCCTGATGTTTTTGCTGCTGTTAAGAAAGTAACAGAAAAAAAAGAGAGAGAGCACACATGTGTATGCGCATGGCATTATGTGAGCCCCTGGATCCAGCTATGCCTGAAGCCATTACCCCCGGATTTTTCCATTAAAAAACTCTATGCAGGACTGTCCTATGGGTGTGCAGGGTGTGAACGCACAACTCTAGCGGGTGACTAGACTTAAGTGCCCACCTTCCCTCATCTACTGGATTTTAAATCCCCTGAGCAGAGTAACAGGGCTCGATCTAACCTGTGGATCCCACACAACCCGCGGGAAACAAACAGCAAAGACACGAGGTGAACTTTTCAGTGGGATGACTGGCACTTTCAGGGTTCAATTTCTGCCTGCAGGGTGGTCAGCTCGCCCACGACTATTTTTGGAAGTGAACCAGGCAGATGGAAACCCCCGCCTTCATGGAGCTGGCATGCTTGTGAGCACAGCTTTAAAGAACTGGCTATGCCAACCTCCACTGTGGGCTACACCAGCCTCCATCACGAAGGGCACTGGAAGTGGGACTAAGCTCCTGACTAATGAGGTGGATTCACCAACCTCTGGGACATTCATCAGCTCTGCACACACCTGCAGGACTCAGGCTACAACCTGTGGATAATGGTCCTGAACATCACCTTGACATCAGGTCAAAGACTATCAATGCCTAACAAGGAGAGAAATGAATACTGACTACCGTGCTAAGCACGTTATATGCATATCTCATCAGCCTCAATAACAACCCTATAAATTAAGTGCCATTGCTGTTCCCGCTTTACGATTGGGGAAACCGAGACCAAAACAGGTCAAAAGAATTGCATTTAGGATTGCTGAGCCGGTGTCAAACATTCTTAAGTCCTTTTCCACGTACTAATGCACGCTGTCACCAGTCAACAATGCTATGACATAAATACCATTATTTTTATCATCCCCCCATTTTACAGATGGCAAATCAAGGCACAGAGAGATCAAGCGACTTGCCCAAGGTCACCAAGCTACAGAAAAGTCAGAGAAATAGGACTTGAACCCACAGAACCAGCTTGTTTTGGAAATGTTAGACACTTGCTTCTCAGAAGAGAAAGTGAGGCATGACCCCCGGATATGGAGAGAGAGATGGGGCCTCACAGGCTTCCAGAATCCCAGCCCAGGGATTTAGCTGAGGCTCCGGCACTGGGCCCTTGCACTGTCTCTCTCCCTCTCTGGGCCTCCCGCTCTGTACCATGAGAAGTGACACCCCACGATTCCCAGGCTCTGACCCTCTAGACTCTGCCCAGACTCTCTGGCCGCGGTCCTCTGCCAGCCAGAGGGGTGGACCAGACACGTGGCTGAGAAGCTTCAAAACTGCGTTCCCAAAATATCTGAGCGACTGGCAGATGGAGAAGTATGCAGGCGCGGGAGGAGAACGAACTGGAAATGAAATGAGAGATGCCAGAGAGAACATGAACAGCGTTGGAGGACAGGATGGAACCGGGGGTGCTTTCAGCTTCCCTGTTTCTAAAGCTCTTGGTCAGAGCAGCAAAGAAGCCACCTCTGCGTGCACCTAATATTTACTGAGCATCTACTAAGTGCCAGGCAGGAGTCAGGTGCTAGGACAATCTGGATGGAAACCTTTAGAATTTGGACATCCCTTGAAGACTACAGATGCTCACATATCTCTGTCCCCACTTGGAATGGCACTCAACATGATTAAAAGTGCCCACATGCTTAGCGTCACACAGTTCACATCTCAGAAGATGTGAAACTGGCCGAACCAGAGCCCCACCGCCAGCTGGTCTCACGAGCTTGCCAAACAAAACGAGAGGCACAGAGCACGTTCTCATCGGCAGTGAAGAGGTCCACAGAAACTCTGCCTTTCCCTCTACCATACCCCAAATCCTCCTTCCCGGGGCCCGGGCCCCATCTCAAAAACTGAGAGAAGAAAGGTTCTGAGATTGCGATTGAGCAAGTTCAAGCAGTTTTACTTACAGCCAGGGAGGCGTCTGGGCAGGAAAAGGTCCCAGGATTTCAACTTCATCCTCACTCGACTGGCAACAGCTGGCCTCATAGCACTTCTGACAGCAGTGCCGGCAGGTCCATCTGCATAGCAGCAGATCCGAGATTCTAGAAAGAAAACCCTGAGGCCATTGGGGGAGGTGGGCAGTGGAGTGGGGGAGAGGGGTGCGGGAGAGGAGGGTGGAGAGGAGGAAGAGCAAAAACACCCGAATTACAAGCGGCCCATCCCTGGTGAGAAATGACATTCAGGAGGTCTGCCTCCGCTGTAAACGCTTGGAACAAAATGTTTCCCACTTGTATTTACCAACTGCAGGCACAAAGATGGCAAACACCATCTCGCCGCCGGGGCCGTTAACAGCAAGCAAAACATTTGCAGGTAGGTTCTTTTGTAGTTTTATGGGAAAGTCTTTTCTTGACAGGTGGGCGGTGTACACAACACCGTGAGGGCTATACAGTATGTTCCCGAAACAGGAATGAGTATTACTGTCTTCTTAAAAGTAAAGCAAAAATATATATATATTTTTTAAGAACTAATCTTAGTGACATGAAAGCAAACAGAGAGAATCAAATGGAATACGGAGGGGGTGGGGAGGGAAACCTAGCTTGTCACCTAGTGTCTTTTCACGGGGATCCCCCTGCCATGGAAAGGCATCGAAACCGTGCCGTTATCAACATCCGTTTATTGTTTAATAGTCAATATTCCCCACAGCCACACAGAAGACTCCAAAACGAAAGGCAAGCGTTTCTTGATTAGAAGCCAGACCAAACAAATCACTGAATTAACTCACCTCGTTCAAAGGTTCCAACTGCCCTTTTAGAGGTCCACGAAGAGGCCACAGGACGCACGGGGGGAGGAAGTGACAAAAAGAGAGAGACAAGACCAGTTTAGAAATAGTCCAGGAACTCAAAAAAGAAAGAAAGAAAAAAAAAAAAGCCCTGGATCTTCCCACTTACCATCCTGGGAAGGGAGCTGACTTCCTAACAAGGTGTTGCTATCTTCCGGGATGCAGGTAGCCTCCTGGCTAACCAACACCGAATAAATGGGAAACTTTAGCATTTCGGTGCGATTTGCACGGTATGCTGTTATGAATCAGAGCAGGCGGATAGATAGTCATGCTATCCAACGCAGCCACACTTCAGAAGAGCAAACCTTCCCATACAGAAATAGCCATGGAGCCAACCTCCAAAGGACATGATTAGCTAACGTGCGAGCAGGCACCGAGTGGATGTCACTTGGCTCCGCCACCCTCCTGGAGGCCCTACCTTCCAATTCTGCTCCAATGGTGGCGGTGGGGAGCTTCATATGACCACCCACAAATAAGAGGGAGCCAGCCGAAAAGGAAGCCATGATCGGGTTCTCCGGGAGGGAGGGGTTCCCCCCCCTTCTTTGGCCCCACCTCCCACCCCTCACAGTTCCCAAGGCTCAGGCTCCCTCCCCTCTTCCAGGGAAGAGCTGATGGCTTTCCAAATGGGCCAAGGAAACCAGGTAGGTTACGTGGGGTCCCCTGAGGAGGGACTTGAACTCAGAACTTCGAATCGAGAGGGAGAAAATTATTGTCTTTTTCAATTCTCTTGCAAGGAGACAGACTCGGTTTGGTATCACTGTATGTTAACATCTTTCTAACACTTGCAAATCACCCCCCCCCCTTCCTTGTTAAACAGAGACAAGACTCCAGCTCAGCCTTGGAGAAAGCACTTTCCAGCTAGAATCTAAGAATGTGGCATTATTCCCATTGCATTTCTTTTTTCCAGTTGCCTCCTGTTTACATTAAGTGATCCTGGTTTTCTATTGTGGTAGTGACGTAAAATTTCCTTTTCATTAAGAATTTTTTTAAGTTAAAAAAACCAAGCGAATTCATTATTAGAAAAATAATATTAAGTAAATAACGGTACAGGTGTTCCATAGCTTGGGAAAAATTTAAAATTCTTGACGTGTTAAGGGAATGACTGGGAAACAAAGTCTCAGGCACTAATCACAAACTTTTCCAAAAGTAAAACTTCAACCAGAACACGACCTGGAGGTGCTGGGGGGCCCTGCAAAGAGGTGAGTGGAGAACGGCTAGTCCTGACCTCACCACTGGCCAGTCATGTGATCTGGGCAAGTCGCGGCCTCGCTGAGCCTCAGTTACCTCTTTTCTTTAGCGGAAGGGCTAAGCTAGGACACTGATTATGAAAATGCTCGTGGGCTGCCCAGCAGAAAAAATACCTGCGCCCTTTCAGTGGCTTCTGAGAACAAAGGTGGTTTGCCAATGCCAGCTGGAACCTATGAGGCACCAGGGACTGTCCTAGCTGAGCTGACTGGGCAGTGAACAAAGCAGCAGAAAGCTATATGCCCTCATAGGGCTTACAAGAGCAAGCGCTTTCCGATGCTTAGGATCAAGAGATGCTCTGTCAAAACAATCCATGCCCATTCTCTTCATTCGGGGGTTTCCCAGGTATGTGGTGATCAAGAGAGAACCATTTATAAAACCATGATGAGCAGAGACAAGGCCACCTCGGGCCCCGGCTAAGGAACAACCATGCAGCCTTCGCAAGTGCGGGTGCAGGATGCGTGTCAGAGAGCAAAGAGCAAACAAGGAAGGTGAAGAAAGAGGAAGGAGAGGATGCGCTGATGTTCCCGGGCGTGATTTGAGGCTTTCCTCACATTGGGTCCCCTGGGCTCCTGTGTTTGGCCTGATCGAGGAGAACTGATCCAACCCAGAAACAACAAGTGTATAGAACCCACACCTTCTAGAAGAGGGGTTGGCAAGTCCAGCCGAAGCCTGTTTTTTGTACTGCACTCCAGCGAACCACATTCTATACATTTTTAAATGGTTGAAAAACAGTCAAAAGAAGACGAATACTTCTTGACTCCTGCAGAGTCTATGAAATTCAAGCCTCGGTGTCCACAAAGAAACTTTTATTGGGACACAGCCACGCCCATTCATGGACTATTGTCTATGGCTGTTCAGCACCATAGTCGGAGGTGGACAGCTACGACAGACCTTGCAGCCCTCAAACAAGAAAAAAACGTTTCCTGTCTGGCCCTTGACAGAAGTTTAGAAGTTGTTCTAGAAGTAAAGCCAACCTCACCAGGCCACCCACCCTGAAACGTCATGCTTAGCGAATCCCCCGCGGATCCCAGTCATGCCCCCTACGCAGCTGGCTGTGTGGCCTGAGCCAAGTCCCCTAATTTCTCTGCGCTGATGGTGGCCACTAACAACGGTGGAAGCCTGTTCTACTGTTCATGTCACTAGAGAGTGCGTTCTGAGGGGCAGGGACCGTGCTGTTTTCACAGCTCTTTCCACAGTGCCCACACATAGTAGGTGGTCACCCAGCTGTCTGAGTGACTGTTGAATAGTCCCGCCCACAATATCCAGCACACAGTGGGTGTACAGTCAGTGTGACCTTCAGTGAACTTGAAAAGATGACCCAGGGATTTCATGGAAGGGAAGCCTAAGGAGATGATCTAAACCAGGAGAGGGATGAGGAGGCCATGCCAGGTGACAGCGCACACACCTCCTGGCAGACTGAAAAGTCTGAGGACAAGATGAAGGGATGTGTGGGCTAGAGAGGAACTAGGGGACCAGCAGCCCCCAACTGTGGCCGAGGGGATAAGAAGTGGACCCAGATGCACCCTGGATGTGGGAGCATGGAGTCTTCTCTGCGGGGCTCTGAGGAGCCCATCTTAGCTCAATGGGTCTGACTGCATGACCTTGGCGCTGACCTGTCACCACTTCCAGCCTTTTATTAAGGAGAAAGGTCTCTTAGTCAAGCAGCCACCACCCCCCTGCCCCCAACATGATGGTAAATTATTTCAGCCCAAGGATTCTTGGGGGAGTTTCCTCAAGATGATGGGGGTCCACAACTACCAGCCCCAATGCAATGGCCTAAAGTAAACAGCTGCCCCACCACCACCACCACCACCACCAAGGCTGTGGTGTGTCCCCAATCCCTCGGCACCCAGTGCCCAAGAGAGACGACGTCCTTGTCCCTCCTGGCCGGAACAGCTGCCTCAGGCTCGCTCCGCCGGCCAATTAGTCGGAGCCGTCACCACGGCAACGGCAGCTGGCGGACCAGGCGGCTGGCGCGCCCCAGGCCGCCCTCCCCGCGGCCCCTCCCCTGGGGTGGGGTGCAAAGGGAGGGAGATGGGGTAGTGGGGAGAAAAGTCCGCCCCACCCCCATTCCTTCCCCAGAAGGCGTGGGAGCCCGTGCAGAATCTGCAGGGGGCCTTCATTTCGGGGTGTGGGGGGTCCCAAGCCTCTTCTCCTGGGGCGCACAGGTTGCCTCGGGCACCCTTTTTTTTTTTTTCTCGAGGCAAGTTCGTGGGAGCCCAGCCGCGTGCCCTCCCTTCCATGCACTCACGGTCGAAGGGGACGCGCCCCCCCACCCCCCACCGCGGACCTGGCCCCCCAGCCTCAGCCCTACCTGGATGTACGCCATTTTCGCCCGCGCGACTCACTCCGGCCCGGGCATAGCGCCGCCACAGCCACTTTGCCCTCGCCAACGGGAGAACGGGGAGAGAGCAAAGGGGGAGAGGAAGACAAGGCAGCCGGGTGGCCCCAGACGTGACTGGCGTGGCTGATGAGCAGCGCCCGCCCCTCCGCCGACCGCCCCGTCCTTGCCTTTCCCAGCGTGCCGGCTCCCAGAGTCCGGGCAGCCTCGCAGGTCGGGAGCTGGGGTGCCCAGGGCCCCCCGCCTCGTCCTCCCTTGCTGTCCCGCGCTCCCCCCCCCCCCGAGGCGCTCCCCAGGCTGGAATGAGGCCCGGGCGCCTAAGGAGGGAGCCCAGGGGAAGCCGCGGGGACTGCAGCGACCCCGGCGCAGGCGGGGCCAGAGACGCTGGGGCCGGTGCGCGCCGGAGGCGGGGGAGGGGATGGGGATAGCGAAGCGGGTGGGAGGGGGCGGCGCACGGGTCAGTCCATCCGGCGCGCGGGGGCTGGCACCTACCCAGAGCAGCGCTCCCAGGGTGGCCGTGACGCCGAGAGAGCAGCAGTCCAGCCCGCCATGGAGGCTGGCGCTGGGAGGGTCGTCCTTCCCCAGCCCTCTCCAGACCCGCCTGGAAAAACTTTATTCCCGCCTTGCCCGACGCGCCTAGAACGGTTGCAGTGAAGCACGCAGAGGCCAAAGGAAATGGGAACCTCAAGTCAAGGTGGGGTGTACGGCGCCCGAAGCGGGGCGCTACGGCCCGGGACGCAGGGGCGCGCAGGGAGAACGGAGCGCCCCTTTACCCTAAACCTGCCGGAGTTGTACCCTGGGCGCAACAGGTCTGACGCGAGGCGGCCCGGCAGCGCCACCCAGCGTCCCGTCGGGAGTCGCGCGTGCCTCGGCCCACTCCAAGCTCCTCGCCAGCGAGCTTGCGCCCCAGGGCGTGTCCGCCCGGCAGCCTGCCCACGTGGCTGTGGAGCAGGGGCCTGGAGGCCAACTCCACGCGGAGCCTCCCATCCCAAGGCCGCAGAGGTGGGGCTGGCTCTCCACTGAGGGATCTGAGGTGGAACATTGCCCTCCGCCCGTTCTCTTTTCGAAATGCCCAGCCATCTCCAGTTGTCACCAGTTTATCAACCTTTTAACCTCCCAGTGCCTCTCGGTCTTTTTGTCAGTACAAATGGCATAAAATCTCTGCCCTGCCTATTCTCCTGGGCTGCTTTGTGGGAATAAAAGAGGGAATAAGAAGCAAAAGATGTTTATGTATTTTCTGTAAAAATCTAGCATACATGTACGTTTTGAGTGGCAGAACATTTCATTTGGAGCACATGGCATGTAATATGGCGGGCGCTTCTAACTCGGCAGTCGCTATACTCAACATTAACAAGTACTCGACATTAACAAGCATTATTTCATTGGATCTTTCTCCTTGCTCACCCCTATACACCTAGCAGAGTGCCGCGCCAGAGTGGGCACTCAATGTTTTTGTTGCTGCTGTTGACTCCTTTTAACTTTATGAGGGAGGTGCTGCAACTGTCCCCAATTTACAGATGAGGAAACTGAGGTGCAGAGGGGGAAAGCCACTCACAGAGGCATGACAGCTGGCAGCTGGCGGCATGGGCGTTGGCACCCACACGGTGGGAGGGGGCGCGGTATTTATCCACAGTGTTTCTTCAGCACTGATGGGGAAGGGGTGCCAGGTGGAGAGGGGTGCCTGCTGGGGCGGGTGCGCCTGGAGGAGACCTGAGGGAGGTGAAGGATTTGCCACGTGTTCTCCTGAGGCTGCGAGCCTGACAGAGTGTTTGAAATCTTTTACACAAATGCAATCTTTTCATTCTCTGACAACCGTGAGGGGGGCAAGGCACTGTTTCTATCCCACTCTTTAGATGAGAAAAAAGAAGGCATACAGAGGCCAAGTCACTTGCCCTGGGGGTATCTAGCATGGAGGAACTGGGGTTCAAAGACCTCCCCCCAAACGGTAGCCTTCCCCAGCCACTGCACCTGGCTGCCTCACAGTGCAGTCTTGGGTGGACAGGGATGAACTCTTTAGGGTTAGTTTGGGACCTTAATTCCTAAAGACTTAAAGCTGTTGGAGAATACAGAACACAGGTTACTGAAAAGGGGGATGACAGAACCTACTTCTGCGGGTATCAAATGCTTTCATGTAAGGAAAGCACCTGGCATGCAGTAGGTGCTTAATAAATGCTCACTGCATGAAAAAATGGATGGTAATTCCGGCTACTATGGATGCTTCCAACTCTTGAGCCATTATTAGGATTGGGGGCTGAGAACGGCACATGCCTTCTTTTGAATCCTCACAAGAGCCCTGTAAGGTGGGTTCTATTATCATCTCACCCCATTTTACAGGTGAGGAAGCTGAGGCTCTGAGAGGAAGTGAGTTCCCCAAGGTCAACATGTGAAAAGTGAGAGACGCGATGAAACTGCAGATCTGTTTAGCTCCGAAGGCCTGGCTGTGCCATCCTGACTTGGATACAAGAATGAACGAGAAGTCAGTTCTAAGCCCTTCATCAAGGAAGTGTCAGTGGTCACTCCGAGACTGGATTTCGGGGTCCCCACCTCTGTGAGCCTCTCCCTGCCCTTTGTAGGAACCTACAGTCTGGCTTTGAGGTGTAAACTGGACTCAGACCAAGGGTGTGCCTGTTTGGACAAGGCAGCTGGCACCCTTACAGGTCTCGGAGGGGACTGATGAATGCATGGAATTGCCTGGGACTCGTGGTATGCTAAAGGAGGGCCCAGGTGGTTATGGGGGTACAGAGGAGGGCCCCAACCTAGTGTGTTTGGGGTCAGAGAAGGCTCCCTGGAGGGGATGGCATTAAGCTGAGCCCCAAAGAGCAAAAGACAGGGAGATTATTCTAGAGACCAGTGGTGCTTAATGGGGGTGTGGGGGCCATGGATAGAATTCTGGGGGTCCATGAACTTCGAGTTACACCTCTATTGTCACTAACCTCTACCTGAAATTCAGTATCTCCTTTCATTATGAATTCAAGCAGCAATATTCATACTTACCTGGGACCTTGTCACCAATAGAAATCATGTATAATTCATATCACATTACAGTTGTTACAAATAACTTGAAATTTCCTTTACACTCTTTACTGCTTGACAATTAGGAGTTATTAGGCCCACCACTAGCTCTTTCTATTTAGTGTATAAATGAAGGACATATATTACCATACACATTGGTTTTAATATTCTGCTCACTCTATCAATGTAATTTCTTCATAATCCTACATATTCTACTCTGATTTTAAAAAAACATTATTTTGAGATGGGGGCTAGAGGCTCCAAACAGACTGGCAGGGGGTCCTTGGCACGGAAGGGATCAAGAACCCCTGAAAGTAGCTGAGAGGGGGAACTGCCAAGTCGTTCTCTGGCTGGAGCCAGGGGAGAGTGATGCCAGGTGAGGTGCCACAGCGGGTAGGGGCCAAATGTCAGGCAGCCTTGTAATTACGCCATAGAAGAGCAGGAAGGGTCAGGCTCAGGAAGATTTTGGGAGGCACGCGCACGTGTGTGTGCGTGCGCGCGCATATAGAGTAGACAAGCCTGGAGGCAGAGGCCATTGCTGCAATGCAGGTAAGAAGTGATGCGTGTCTGAGCTGAGGTCACGGCAGTGAATGACGGGCGGAACTGAATGGGCGGTGATGAGGTCGTGGAAGGCAGGCGAAGCTAGAGGAAAGCAGGTTAGCTGGCAGAGGAGTTGGGGTTTTGTGTTTGGAGACAATGATTCTCCGGTGTGTTATCTAGGGTTCCTGAAAGAAACCCAATTCAATCCACCTTGAGCAAAGGTGGCCCATTAACTGGGAGTCCAAGGGCAGATCCTACAGGCATGGCTGTATGTAGGCATGCAACTGATGTCGTGAGGACTTGCTCTCTCTCTCCGTGTCTCACCTCTTCACAGTTTCTCTCTGAGAACTGGATCCCCCCCCCCCTCCGCCAGAGTTAGGTTTGCTTCACATGGCAGGAAAATGGCTGCTAGTGGCCTTGAGCTTATATTTTAACAGCTTATGCTCCAAAAGTAAGAGAAACTTTTTATGAAATCTTAAGGAAAAACTCTTAATTGGTCCTGCTTGGGTCACACGCCTACCTCTGGACCAAGTGCTGTGTCTAGAAGACCCGGCATTCTGCTTGAGTCCACCTGGACCAGATGATCAGAGATGTGTGGGCATTGTGAGCCGTGATCCCATAAGGATCATGTAGAGAGGGTGAGGAAGCAGGTTCTCTAAAAAAGAGATTTGGGGGGGGGGGCAGCCAGTTAGCTCAGGTGGTTAGAGTACAGTGCTCATAACACCAAGGTTGCCAGTTCAATCCCCACATGGGCCACTGAGCTGCGCCCTCTGCAACTAGATTGAAACAACTACTTGACTTGGAGCTGATGGGTCCTGGAAAAACACACTGTTCCCCAATTTTACAAAAAAGAGAGAGAGATTCTGGAAGACAAAAATGACACGCCCAAGACAACGTGGCTGTGAAACGTCCAGGCAGAGATGTCCGATGGGCAGAGTAGAGGGTTGTGGAGTTCAGCCCCGCCTCACACAGAATGACACTCAGGGTGGATGATAATCAGGAGATGAGGCATCAGTCACCTCCTGGTGGCACTTCTGGGCTCACCTCAGTCTGTAGCGTCTAAAAGGAACCTGGCCTCTCACCTCCTCCCCTCTAACCCAGTTCTGGATGGCAGACGCAGGCACATAATAATGGTTTTCTCTGCAGGGCCCATTAGAGGTGGCACTGCAAACCACAGACCTCAGGATACCTATTATAATTACAAAGCGCCAGACGGGCAAACGCAGTCACTGGCATCTGTATGGGCAACGCACATCTCATTAGGTGACTTTCTATTTCTGCATACAGGCTGATGGCACTTGTCTCCAAAAGTTAGTTTTAATTACATAGCATCACCGAACGTGCCATTTAGATCCTGTTTTAGCTATGCCCGTAAACCTGGGCAGTATTTCTGAAAGCCAGGGGAAGCAAGAAGTCTCCGGGCTAATTAAGCAGCTGGTCTGGAAATAGGAAGGATGGCCACCTGTTAAGTATGATGCCTGGGCTGATATAACCAAGGAACCCCATGTAAGAGTCAGGCCCCTTTCATCCCCATCCTCACCAGGGGCCGTGTGGTCTGACGGCAAGAGATCCGGCTCCTAGTCCAGCCTCGCCTACGGAATAGCTATGTGGCCTCGAGCAATCCACTCAGTCCCTGGGAGCCTGTTTTCCTCACCTGCAGAATGGGTATAATACTCCTCCCCAGGGCTGGTGTGAGATAAGGCAAAGGAGAAAAATGCACGTGAAGCACTAGTTCAAACATAGTGGTTTCTTACCCCCCAGCACACCTTTAATCTGCAGCCACAGTGCCTCCTCCTTGGGGAATGG